CTCTCCAGGCTACCTGGATTCCCCGTGTCTCAAGGTCAGAATTTGATCCCAATGAGCTATATTGGTGTCTAAGCTCCTATAATTAATGTCTCTGATGAGAAACGTAAGGCTACCTCCATTACCTTGTCTATCACAACGGAAGATGTTATATCCGCATACCCTCCAACTTATGAGGATTTTGAAAATAATTCTTTCTAGTGGTAGCGAACCAAAGTAGAAATTTTTAAAGTAAATGGATCTCCCATAAAACTTTTTTCAGAACTTAAGAATCTAGCCATATGGCCTGCACTTTTATAAGTAATAGTGGACAAGTTACGCTAAAATTAATTTTTTTTAAATATTAAGACATTAATTTTGCTACCGTCTGAAAAGAAGATTTCTGAAACTACGGAAATTCCGTAGCAGTTGGAGGGTATGTATCCCTTTACTTTAAGTGACACATTTTTATTTAATTTGGTTTCTTGGAGGGCAACAATCTGTAATCTGTAAACAATCTGTAAGAAACAACAATCAATGGGTGTTTGCAAGTTCCAACACCTGGTCTAGTTTGACTCTTGAGGCTGCGGTTGAGATCCCATTGATGTTACATTGAAGGATTTTCAAAGTTCCATTAGAAGTACTTGAGTAAGGTAGTATATTTTTCGAGCGTGGTCCGCTTCCAAAGCCACAAACGCGATCCTTTTTATCCTGCGCGACGGTCGAGGCAGTATGAGAGTTAGAACAAGACATGAATTTCATGGTTGAGGTAATAATGCAGCTTCTGAAGTCCTATGACTGGAGCACCATGCTGGCAGAAGTCTGACTTGGCTCCTTCGCCTGTTGACTTTAGCTGAGTGTAATGGAACGGCCTTCTCGCCATGGGTGACCCTTCCAGGAGTAAAACTCCAGACGCCCATCGCCCGTTTCACTCAGGGTCACCCTATCGCCACGATGAGGCAGCCAACAGGACTTGAGGGAGGCAAATTACTAAAACTAATATATTTTAATATAAATGTATAATTCAAACATATTTTAACCGATATATTGCAATGTATATTTTATAAATTAAGATATATCACAATTCTAAGGCTATTTAAAATCTTGAGCAGAAGCACAATAAATAATTGTACAGTAGAGAACCATTTATCCGGAACGATCGGGACCATCGCGATTCCGGATAACTGATTTTTCCGGTTTTTGATTTTTCCGGTTTTCTGAATCGCTACAAAATGCCGTTTTTTTAATGTTTATAAAGCAAAACTAAAAAATTATTTTGAAATAGTTTTAGAAATAATAAAAAATGATAAATAATAATACACTTAAGTTTAAATAAGGAAAGAAATTTTGAAATAAAAATTATATACAGGCTTATATATGTTATTATTAACATTAATAACATATATAAGCTATTTATGCTTACGTGAGATTCGTCTACAAACGGCTTTTGATCCGTCCTCTAAATCAGTTCTTTCGTCAACTCGATACGCTGTACGCTCTAAATAACAAAATGGGCTCAAAATCTTTCAGGAAAAAAAAATTTTTTTTAATGGAAGAAAATTAATTTCCGGTTCCAAATTTCATTCCGTTTATCTGGTTTTCCGGTTTTCTGATTTACGAATAAGAGGTTCTGCACTGTACTAACAATTTCTATGCCCATTTCAATCTCTTAGTTTCATTTAAGATGTTTTATCTCATGAATTATGAATAAAAAATGCAATTGAATGCTTTTGTAATTTTATATTTGAATACTAATTAAGTTATTTCATAATTCAAATGGAATTAGATCAGATAACACATATAAACACATTAGAGACTCAAATAATGTGACAGAACATAATAGCAATTAAAGTTAAATAAAATATGTGCTTTCAATCTGAATTTACAACATATTAGAGAAAAACCTATTGAAATCAAACATAACACTTAAGTAAAATAAAAATAGTATCTTTTACTTACTTCGATATCTCTTTAATCAAACCTTAAATATATTAGTTGACAACATTCATTGTAATGGTGTTTACGTCCACGAATGGCGTTCTTACCGAGGAGCTTCCCGCCTACAGTTACTACCTCCTGATCATGACGTCACAGGGTTGAAATCGCTCAGCCAGTAGACCTTGACCTTCTAGTAGGTGTTGGTTAAGAGCATGTACGCTTGAATTTAAAGTTTGTAATGAGGTTTCTACTCTACTTGAAATTTCAATAGCTTCGTCAAATGATAGGGGATTTACGTGAATCACTTGTGCTTTCAGAGCTGGCTTTAAGCCATTAATATATTGCGACAATTTTACCTTTTCTTTAAAAAATGTGGCCAATTTTGCTAATCCCTCAATCTGCATAGCAAAATCCCTAGCTGTTTCACTTGTCTTCTGCTCAGCTGTGTGGAGAAAGCAGCAAACTTTTGAGCAAAAGATGTATTAGGAATAAAATAGCTTTTAATTCCTTTCTTCAGAGATTCATAATCCATAGCTTTCCCCGCTAAAGAGTTATTGTAAAGCTTCCTAACTGCTCCTTCCATTTTTAATTTTGTTATAACCATTAGTTGTTCTTTTGACCATTCAGCTAATTTTGCTGTGGTTTCCAAGGATTCAAAAAAATCATTATAATTTTCGTCATTGAAGAGACAACAAAAATGGAGACTTTAAACCTCAGCCATTTTTTTTTTTTTTTTTTGCTTTAAAATAGATAATAGAACCATCTTATGACACTGTTAAGTTAAAGTATATGTGTGCACTGAATTGGGTTTAACAAATATTTACCACATGGTCCATAAATTTGGTGATAAACTTACTATTCCCTCAATAGCCAAATGAATGTGGAAATAATATTTAAATATATTAATCTACAAACTTGGAAATTATATTTTCCACAAATAATTGCCAGAACTTGCTAGCCTGGTCACGGCACCAAAATACATGTGGTGACAATTTGGGTAAAGTATAGTGGGATAATTGCCAAATTTAGTACTAATGCATTTTACAACTAAGGCCTATCCCAATTCATCACCAACACATACAAATAAAGTAAGATAAAAATATCTGTCTAGAAATAATGATCACAGGGGAGATAATTTACTTAAGCAATTTTAATGATGATTAACTCAATTATCAAGATTTACTCATTAAAATAAATTTGACCATGTAGCATAATAAAATAAGGTCATAACAAATTATACTAAACTAAATCAACATGTGACAAACAGATTTGGAGAACATTTTAAGGAAAAGGAATTACGCAGCTAGAGTCAATTGAATTTAAAGTCACTTATCTTGCACATGTGCTAGACTTGGTTTGGAATCTTAAGGAGATGATAAACTATGTGTAGGTATCAGGTTATTGTTCTCTGGATATATAGTATATCACTTGTTCAGTCCTGTTGCAGGACTGTATATTTTGCTTCAGAATTTCAATCAAAAACATCTTTTTCTAATCACCTTCCACTCAGCTCACCAGGTCTTTGACCTCTCTTCTTCACCTCCGCCCTACCCCTCTTCTCAGGTTTTCTCTCCTTACCCAAAAATTGGCAGACCAAAACTGCTTATTTTATTCATAGAGAGGCTATCTCAAACAGTCAGTTTGGGCAGAAATAGGATGACTGATACTCATAAAAAGGAAAGAGAGTTGTAGCAACATTACAATTCTTTTATGCAGTTGTAATATCAAACATCGATTTTCGTATTTATTCGTGATTTAAAAATTAGACATTGAAAATCGTATTCACACGATCTAAGAATTATGCATCATGATTTGTATTTTCGCATTTTTTAAAATTCGATATAGAGTTTCATATTCATGTGATTTAAAAGCCACACATCGGGATTCATATTCTCTCAATTTAAGATCGAATATTGTAATACTTTATTCACATGATTTTAAAATCATGCATGCAATTCAAATTTATGTGATTCATATTCATACAATTTTAAAATTAATCATCGTGATTTATAATCACATGGTTTAAAAGTTTAAAAATCACACTTTTTATTTCAAATTTTTGGATATCATTGCTTATACATATTATATATGTATATATACAAAGTGTTTTCATTACAGTGCGAGAATCTCGCATATTTTTTTCTTTTCTCACATTAAAAAATTATTACCATGAGAAATTCGCTCACTCTATAAATCAATTTCAAAATTCGAGAATTTCTCGCATTACGCCATTTAGAATAAAATCTGTTTCACTTTTCTTCCTGGATCTTTCATTATTTTCATATTGCCCCATTATCTATCTTCCCTATTTACCAGTATTGTTCAGAACCTTTTCAAACAACAGAACACTACCCCTCCGAACCACGGAACCCCTTCCAGAACACATTTCTCTTCAATCACATGTTTACCGTGGGTAAGGTTTCTTCATTTAAGACGTTCAAATTTTTTATGCACTAATATAAGATGGACAAATACCTTGTAAAGGCAAAATCTTCTATGATGAGGCAGCAAAAATCATAATGATGATGCAGCAAAAATATTAAATGCTTTAAAAATGTATTATAACTGAAGAAATTATTTTTTTCTCAAGTCTATTTGTGTTTTCTTAATTTTTAGAAATCTCACTTAACTTTTTGAAATCTCACCGAATTTTTAAGAAAGGGTAAGAAACTCTCACCCATTTTTTTCTATGATGAAAACACTGATAGNCAACGAAGAGCCATTACATCATGACCACCCTCCATCTATGACAATGGGCTCGCCCAGGTTTTCATGGTTTCTCGTTCTTCGTTTTCATGGTTTTCAAAATATTTTTGGAAAATAAAGTTTAAAAGAGAGAGTTTTTGAATTGCAGACCTTTGAGAATTTTCAGCACTCCTGCTAAAACAAAACTGAGGGAAAGACTGAGACAAAAGAAGTCTCCAAGATGGAATAACAGAGGATGAAAGTGATGACAAAGTAGTCGAATTCAATTAGGCTGGAGAGAAAAAAAATCATAGCTTTTTTTGGTTTAAGCCCCTTAAAAAGACCTCTATTATAAGTTTTATTTTTCTTATATTTTAAAAGTGTTATTAATTTATTTTTAGGAAGAAAACTTGAAAGTCAATTCATTAGTTTCTATAATAGATTGCAGGTTTGTATGTTCTTTGTTTTTAGTTTTTTTCCTCTTTAAGAATAATTAAATCAGTGTGATATATTTGTTTTCCTGATTGTTTTAAATTTGGTTTAAGTAAAATTGAATGGAGTGTGGTGTTATTTGCACATGCACAAATTCTGTTGTAAATACACATGGTTTATAACATCTTTATTTTTTAATACAGTAGGGAACCGATTATCCGGAACGATCGGGACTATCGCTATTCCGGATAACTGATTTTTCCGGTTTTCTGAATCACTACAAAAAGCAGTTTTTTTTTATTGTTAAACCCAACTAAAAAAAATTTTTTTGGCAATAATCTTAAAAAGAAGAAAAAACAATGGAGTAATACACTAATGATTATTTACAAAATGATGGTAAGGTAAACATCTTTCAAAAAAGAAAGAAAAATCCTAAAATCTTATGAGGAAAAAAAATTTTTTTTTTTAAAATGGCGGGATAATTTATCGAATTTCGCTCCGGTTTTCTGATTTCCGGATAACGGGTTCTGTACTGTACTATATTGCACACAAATTCTGAATTGCATTGAGTCTATTTTAAATTCAATTTTCAAGCTTTTTATTAGCAATTATTTCTGCCAATTTGAACACTGTTAATAAAGTCCAGTTATTTTTTAATATGCTCTTATTACAATGCGGGAATTTCAAATCTTGCGTATGTGATGTGAAATCACTTTTTCACCTGTTCAATTAGCAGCAATTCCTTGTATTTTAAGTGGTCTTGTGTTTTGGCAGTTATTACTATAGATTTCTTCACAATTTTTAAAAATGTTAATTTATTTCAATTTTATTATGACACAAATTTCAAAGTTTCTATGGTATTATATTTTTAATACATTTGTTTCACTCTGCTGATTCCATTGTATTTAACAAGATATGTCTATTGTTTCACAGCAGTTATTGCTGCAGACTTCTTCATGATTTTTAGAATTCAATTGTTAATATACATTATTAATATGAAGTGCATGTTTTCATTTTAGCATAAACTTTTTAGCATGTTAAATTCCCACCTCTTCATATTCCACATTTGTTTTATTTATTGTAATTTAAGTAGTTATCACAATGGAGACCTACACGGTTTTTCAAATCCTGTTTTTAATTCGATTTTATAATGACATGTACATTTTGAATAGTGCATTTCAGAACCTTATTTTTTCACATGCTTTGTTCATGCAGATTCTATTCATTCCATGTGGTTCTGTATATTGTTTTTCCACCATATTTTGCACCTGATTTCTAATGTGCTATAACATGCATTAAAGTAATCACAAAAACTGAAAGATATGCATTTATGGATTTCTGAAATGTAGAAAATATGGGTTGCACTATTATAATCCTGTTCGGTGTAGAAAAGCAGAAATTGGAACTATGAAAATAGTTATAGCCTATGTTATGTTAAATTGATATGTAGATCTGCTGAATTAGTTTTTTTATGGCACTAATACAACACATATATTTTTTCTTCTTTTTTATAATGTTAACTAAAAATAAAGACGACAAAGCTAACAAAATTACTCTATGAATTTGGAAATTGACATTGAAAGTCATATATTTTTGTTATAAAAATTTTATTTTATAGACAATTTCCCCCAAAAATTAGACAAATACCAAAAATGTCCAGTTTAGTTTTCTTAGTACTTATAACCAGGGTTCGTGATTTTTTTTATAAAAATCTGATTTTTTAAAATTTTATTTAAATCGGATTTTTTTAAATTCAAATACACTGTAAGAGCCTTGATTTATGACTAAAAAACTTAATAAATGTTTAATCAAAATTAAATTAATATTAAAACTATATTATAGGAATATTTTGGAAACTCTTAACTACCTAAAAAAATTTTTCATTATAATACATACATAGCTTTGAATGCATAGCAACCATTTTGAAACAAATGCATGATTGAAATTTAAAGACTAGATGAAATAGAGAATTTAAAGAATACTTTAACTATTAAAACAAAATTTCAATTACCAAACCATAATTTAAATAAAAACTGATTTCTTTTTTTTTCCCTCTTGATTTTTAAAATGACAAAATAAATGTAACAGATTGTGTTTATAAATGTAGTCATTCATCAAAAAATAAATCAATTTTTAATCTATATATTTTTATATTAAAATATTCATTTTTAATCCTATATCAAAATGGATAAGTTTAGCTGAACTAAAAAAAAATCTATGTACTCATTGAAATTTTTTTTCACAAAATTTCTTTATAGAAAACTGATAATGTCAAAGATACTGTTAACATATTATAAGAAAAAAATCCTTAAATGTTTACTTTAATCTGTGCTTTCAATCTCAAGAATCAAAAGATTTTTAAAAATGTCATTTCAAATGTGTTGGAATTTAACACATACCAAGAAAGTAATTTCGTTAACTAAAATTAATTAATGCAGCAATAATAAATTTTAAAACTAATACAGCAATTTATTTGAAATAAATTTTAAAACTAAGAAAATAAATAATAAAATTATCAATAATTTGAAACACTGTTTTTTAACTTTTTAAATCAATATATATATTAAAAAAATCAGTTGATTTAAATCAAGCTGATTTAAATCAACAAAATCTGCTTATAACTAAAAATTATAAAGAATAGATCAATTTAATTTAGAAAAAAATTCTTCCACTATGTCCTACTTTCCATGGAATTGCCCAATTAGATTTTTAAAAATTTCTAATTCTGGTGTCTTGGAGAAATTTTTTTTTCTTATTTCGTAGATACGATAGCCAGTATCAAATTTAAATATGCATATATCTATTACATTTCTCCCAACTAGAAGGGACTATTATTTTGACTTTCTATTGGATAACAAGCATTCACTCTTAATGTGACAATATCTTTAAAAAAAAATTATTTTATGTTCTTTGGATTTTAATTTTTGATTTTTACTCATTAAATTATAACTCCTTCATTTTAGACTGGGTGATTCAAAATTATCTTACCAACTTAAGAACTCAATAAAATATTTAAGATAAGATCTGTTTGTACAAAAATAATTTTTCCTTCCATTTTTAGTTTTGCTTATTTTTTTCTTGTAAGTTGTGGAATTTTTCAATGATATTTGGACATGAAACTTATCTTTTTCTCTCACAGTTGATGATGATAAAAAACACAGTTGAACTTGCTAGTAGTTAAATTATAAAATTACTAAGTGAATTAAAAAGATGTATGAGAATAGTGAGCTATAGTTGTATATATTAGTGCTCTGACACAATATATTGTGACTTAGTTTTTCAATCCTTAAATATCACTAATTTTGAGAAATCACTTTTTCATTTATTTTCGTGTGAAAACTACGGTAGAAGAATTTTTTATTTAAAATTTTTTTTTTTTAACTCTGTGATACAGACTCCTAAAATTTTCTTTACTTTATAGCATGGATATTTCACCTGATGAGATACTGCCACCTCCTGATGTTTCTCTTCCCGATCCTCTTAATAGTGAAATTTTTGATGATCTATCCTTTTCTGATTCTTCTGAATTTTTGGAAGCAGATGAAGAAATTAATGTTAGGAAGCGATTGTTTCCTAAAGTATTGCAAGAAAGGCTGTTGAGTAAAAATTTAGTAAGTACTCAATTTTAAAAAATTGAACAAAAATATATTGCAAAGCAATGAGCTGCTGGCAATATAGAGAGCATCATACTGAGCACAAATAAAAACAGTAAAGTTATTCAACTATTTATGACTTTACTGCTTTTTCACCCATAATAAACAGTGAAGGCGCAATATGTTTTTAAAATATTTGTGCTGACTATTTTGTTTATGCATTAAAGATTCTTTGGGTTGTTATTCACATTAATTTTTATTTCTTACATGTATAGTGGTATATCTTAGATAAAAAGGCACTCAAAAGGTAATTAAAAATTGGGGTTAATATTCATTGAAAATAAACATTTAAACTTACAGTCAGGGACAATTTTTCTACACTTTGAAATTCCAGTGTGAAATTCCAATTAGGCTCATAGATTATGTCTTTGTTTTACATTTTAAAAAATATTTATAATTATGTAAACAAAAATATTATTCAAATAAATATAATGACAATTACTTAAATTCGAGGTCTTCAACCTTTTCTGCCTGAAGACTTACATTAATAAGTTTGGGAAATTTCTTAGGCCATGCATATGCTAGACAATATAGGCATAACCATTGCCTATATTGTCAAAATCCCCGTGGCGACATTGTTGCAGAATGCTACAGAGTTCCTGCAGAAAGATTTTTCCTTTGAGAATTAAAAAATTTTGATTTTCTTTTCTGTAGAAATTTTTGAAAGATTTTATCTTTTCTTCTGAATTATATTCAAAAGATGCCTTTTTCGCGCATTGTAAAGGGAAAAAAATGCTTATGATTTTTCTTTTCTCATTTGAGAATAATAAAGTAAAAAATTTGGGGTTTTTTTTTTCATGGAAATTTTCTTTCAATTTTTTGATGCAGTTATTACTACTGATTTCAACATAGCTTTTAAAATCCGATATTTCTAATACGATATTACTAATTACAACAACTGAATCTCAAAATTAAAACATGCATTTAGTAACCCCTTTTTGAAGAGTCCTATTCCCGTGATTTTGTCATCGATCTTTTTTTTCTCGGTAGTTACTGCTACAGATTTGACGTTTTTTTTAATGTGATGATGAATTACAAATTGCGAAAAAGGAAATAATTAGCGTGTTAACTTTTTACAAAATGCGAGAATATTGCCCATAATATTAGAATTAAAAAAAAAAAGACATATGAGTGATTCACAGTATTGTGTACGTTGCGGACATGACGTTTTCAAAGTTCGATACTTCATATTTGAATTTTGAAGTGAATTTTTTTAGTGAATTTTATTAGTTTAGTGAATTAGTGAATTTTTTTTTCAAGAGCTTTATATATTGTTCTTTCTTAAATAAAGAAGATTTTTGGATAAAATTTGAATTAAAGTATTTTAATAAAAAAAATTGAAGTGTTGCAGACATGACGCAGAAAAACTTTATTTTTCACTAGTCTTCAATATATACCTCAACTTCTGTGAATTTTACAAAATAAGTAAACACATTTGGCATGAAAAGGTTAAAATATATGTAGATATAAAGGAAATTAAAATTTTTTTTCAGAATTTAAAATGATTTAATGAAAATTTACATAATTTAAAATATAAGTGGTGCGGACATGACGTTGCAGACATGACGAAAAGTTTACATCTCTATTTGTTAGAATTACTGTTATTTGAAATTTATGCATATTATTTTTCATATGTACAGCTTAAATATTTATTAAGTAAAAATTTTACATATTTTATTTAATTTTTATTAATAATTAAATAAATAAATTTATTAGACAAATTGCAATGCAATTTTGCTTTATAATTTATTGATTATATTTTTGACATGCAATGCAACCTTAGAATCATATAAAAAATAGTGTGCAGATGGATCAGGTGCTGGGTCACCTGGTAAAGAAGATAAATATGTATTAATTGAAATGGTTTCAAATATTGGTTTCTCCGAATACTTGAATTTATTAGTTGCTACAGGCTTGAAATGGTGGTTTAGTGTCATAGTGTGTTTATCAATTGAAATAACTAGGCCAGGCCACCAGTTATCGTCAAACAGTACAGCAATCCACGGCCCTTCTAATTTATTTTCTGTTCTTGATGTGGCAGCTAACTGAAGTGATGATGATGATGGAATCGTTGATTTTGATTCAGGAAATAATGTTGCCTGGTACATAGTTTGTGCACTTGAAAAAGGAGAATTTATAGAATATTCTACTGAGTTGGATGATATAGGGCGAATGAAATGCAAACCTCTTGTATTTGCTATTGATTTACATTGACTGAAACGGTCTGTAAGCATCATTGCCTTACGATCAACAGGTTTTTTGCTTATAAAAATTAGTTTGATTTTACCATCCATAATTCTAGAAGCAACCTCGTAAAAGGACTTTGCATCAACAACAACTTCTTTACCTTGTAGTACTGCTCGCTAGACCTTATTCTTTACAGATCCCCCTACGCCATCTACAGTACCTTTTCCGTGTGCCGTTTCAAAAAATGACCAATCTGCTTCTATTTTAACATCATCTTTGTGACAAACTAAATTGGAAAACATGAATCTGTTTTTGAATTGGCTTTCAGCCCCATCAGACCAATAGTGCACTTTTTTTATCATATCACATTTAATTTCTTTTAAATGGGCCACAATTTCTTCATTGAAAATTTTTACAGAATTTTTGTTATGTGATAAATCATCAGACACTATAGCATAAGCAGGCCTCGCAGCGCTCCTATATTTCCTATTTTTCCTATTAATCTGGAAAAATTGCTATATTTCCTATTTTTTCCTATATTTTCTGTATTATTTTCCTTAATTTTCCCTTATAATCCTTTCTCAACGTCCGCGCTCCCGATTTGCGCTAGTCTGATGTCAATCATCAAACCACACCTAAAAATTCTTTAACCAATCATCCGTTTGCAATGTCTTAACCCAGCTGCACCAAGTACAAGTAAAAGGGAATCGTCAGCAAGTGAAAGAAATATATGTGAGGTTTGTGGAATAAGATATAGAATAGAAAGGGTGTGAAAAGAAGGAACCCAGAACGGAGCAATATATTTTAGTGTAGTCATGCGGATTCAATAAAGTGATTTTCGTTTTCCTTTTAAAAGTTTTTTTTATTATTTTAATGTAATTAAGTGATTTTTTCTCTTTCTCGAGTTTAATTTCGAAACATATCACGCGACGAACAATCATTACATGAATTACGAATCCGAAATCGTTAGCATTTAAGAGATTTGGTTTTCAAGAACATGATTTACGAATGTCACACTTAATGATTTTGGACTATGAATCGCGATTCCTATGTAGGTAACTTACTTAAAAATCATGATTTGCGAAATAATTTGCGAGCTATACTCGTATTATATATAATTCGGTCTTCAAATCGCTATTCATTTTTATGCAATTTAAAAATTCAATTACTTGATTAATATCCAAACAGGTAGAAAAAAAAATGCAATTCATTTTAAAGCATTTATGATAGTTATTCTGTAGTCTAATTTTAAAGTCCACACAGGTGCAATAAAATGTTTGGGAGTTAAAATTAAACAATTTGCAGCCTACGTAGGTGAAAATAAATAAATTTGAAAATTAATATTATTTCATTTTCATAAATCTTTTTTTATTTTTTTATTTAAAATCAATGTGAAACTGAAGCTTGCATTAAAAATTCTGTTCTGAAATGTAGATAATTTTTCTTCTTAAAAATATTGTTTAACATAATTTTAAAAAAATAGGGTGTCTGACTTAAAAATATCTGATATGCTTATACAAGTACAGTACAGGACCACTTATTTGGTATCTAGAACATCGGGATAAATTTTGCTTAATTTTCCCGCCGTTTTGAATTATATCGATGTGCGGAAATTCTGATTTTTGAAGTTTCAAAATAAAATGAAATTCAAGTTCAGTGAAAGAAAAAACTTGTGTGTGTGTGTGTGGGGGGGGGTGTTTTTGAAAGAGAAAACTTCAATATATTTCTTCTGTAACCTTGAAGTTCTTCAGGGATGGAAAGAAACGGTGCTTTTCTGATAAGCTGCCGTCAATCAAACATAAAGGAGCGGCTTTCTGATTTCGCTTTCTCTCTGATTTACGAGGAGGAGGGGTATTGCACGTGTATATTAGTGAACATAAGTTTTTTATTTTCTTAATTTGGCAGTTTTACTATCATAATTTATGTATTTTCTTTTATTTTTAAAAACTCTCGCAGTTGATACGATTCTTTTCTATTTTCTTTTATTTTTAAATATGATTTAGTTTTTGTTTTTTTTTTAATGTGTGAGTTTTTTTAATTTTTTTTTCTTATCTTAATTTGTAAATGTTTTTATTGATTTAAATCTTGTTTTCTTCCGATTTGTTTAACTAAGGAGAACTTTCCTTATTTATTTTTCATATTTTAAACTATGTTAGTATTTTTCATTGTAATTTGGGTTCGCTGAAACATCGATCTATAATGTTTTTTAGCATATCCCGAAAACAGGCAAATTCAGACATCTGGGATAGCGATGGTCCCGAACATGCCGGGTTCTCTACTGTATTTCATTCTTAATAATTTTAAGTAACCCTTTGTTCTGTTGAGTTTTTCTGAGTTAAAAGAAAAATTTGAAGTTTATTTTTTCTTTTCTTAATTTTGGAGTTTTGCCTTCATAATTTATCTTTTTCTTTCTATTTATGCAGCTTTATTTGTGTTTAATTTTTTAATAGGCAATCTTAACATATTGCAGTTCGGAGGCATGATAATAACATTTTAAATATTCCTATAACTTTCTCATTATTGAACTCTGTAACTAAAGCACATTCAGCATATAAAGAAGATAAAGAAAAAGAAGCTTCCCAAGCTAAGATAGACGCAGAAAAACGATCTCTATCAGAATCGGAACAATTGCGGAAAAAACAAAAGAAAGATGCAAAAGAAAAGTTGCGTGATTTAGAAAATCATGTGAAATCCTTAAAAGATGAATTAAGCCTTTCCCAGAATTTACTGCAGGAGAGTAATGCCCGCCTACAAAAAGCATTAAAAACTAAAGACTTTAATGAAATGAGAATTGCTTCTGCAATCATAGAATCCGCAACTAATCAGGTTAAAATATTAACTGAAAAGCTTGCTGAAACTAATAAAAAATAATAATTCTACGTATATGTATTGATTCTAACTGAGTTGTTCACTCTTAGTATATTCTAGTGTATTATATTCGTATTTGTATAACTTTGTTCTAAATTTTAATTCCAGTTGCACTTATTATTTTCGATTGTATATATTGTTTCGATTATGTTCATGTGTTGCAAAGATGGGGAGTTAAATTTTCATATAATATTAATTAGTGTTACCAACATAATTACTAATAAACTTTTTTTCTTAACTCTAATGCTGTGTATTAATAAACTTAATTGTTTTTATTCAGATTTTCTATTTGAAACCTTTTGCTGGTCCTCAAAAAATTTTAAAAATATAATTACTTTATTAATTATTCTTTTATAAATGCATAACATTATATTCTGATATAAGTCTACGGTTTATTCAAATATATTAAGAAATATATTCCAACCTACTCCTGGACAAGAAAGCTAAAATTTGTCTACAATCAGTGTTCTTTTTTTCTCCAGTTAGATTATCTAATAAAACATTTAGTTTTAAAGCCAAGATAGGGTTTTGTAGAAATGTTTTTTCATAACATTAGTTTTGAATAACACATAAATAAAAGTTGTACATGTTCTATGCAAATTTTGAATCTATATTTTTTAAACAAAATATTAGGGATTCTTATATTATTTTCAAAACATTCCTATAAAATTCCTATAATTTCTTAAATGAATTCCTATATTTCCTATTATATTTTTGCTTTGAGTCACTTCTAGGCCTGCATAAGACTGATGAGCCAAAGAATTTGTTTCATCTTTGTAATATGTGACACAAGTGTATAGGGTAACACTATCAGTTGCCCAATGAGCACTCATGATCTCACGATCATGCTTTATGGAATAATTTTCGGCAAAATCTGCATGCATGATAACTTCATCATTAGAAAGATTTTCTTTTAAATACCTAAATTCAAAATGTTGCTTAGAAGCATTGTAAGTATGTCTAGAAAATAGGTGCAATCGCGAACCAATTTCTTTAGCAGATCCTAAAACCGTAACTATTTCCCTTTTAAAAGTGAATCCCACTTCATTCTGTTGCCACTGATAGTACTTCACTGTGCAATCCAGATTTTCAAATTATACTTTATCATCCAAGTATTTTTCAACACCACATATTGAACACAGTCTATCAATGCAGCTAATATGTTTTTCATCAAAACCACAAACAGTTTCTTTTGCGATTGCTTCTGAATTACTTGGAAGATCTGGACAGTGAGCTCCTATTCCCGAAAGAATCATGTCAACATTTTCGTGGTATACACACATGCATACTTCTTGATCCTTTTTTCCAGATGGTAACACAAGTTTTGGTCGCATTTCATAAAATTTTGATTTTTCAATACTAAAATCGAGATTTTCACTTAAGAAAAGCTGATGTGCTTCTCCAGTACTCATTATAAGAAAACGTTTTTGGTGTATTTCTCGCCCTACATCTGTTTTTAAGGATATTACATCCTTTTTTCCAGGACACATTCGGCTTATATCATCTCTTATGAAAAATTCATTTACTTTTTTCTGTTTCTTCAGAAAGTTTGTCACATCTTTTTTTTCTCGATCAATTTCAGATAGCTGCAGCCTTTTAATTTTGATTGAATTTTTAATTATTTGTTTTCTTTTCAAAGGGGATATTTTGGTTATAACATCTGTCAATGCATGAATTTTCTTATTTGGTGATCTTGGTAGTGAATTAGTGATTTTTTTAACAGCTTTACCCAATGATTGTCTGCTTGTGTAGCCAGGTGAATCTGTTATTATTTCTGCATCTTTCTTTTTTTCCCTGCATCTTTTTTGTGCTTCCTTATTTTTTGCCCTTATGTTGATTTTCTGCTATTCAGTGAGTATTTTGGAATGTCTGTATTCCTTCTTTTTTCTGCTTGCTTCAGTTTGCATTGCTTCATATTTTTGTGGATCAGCTTTCAATTTTTGTCTTATAATATGAGATCTTTCAGTACTAGTTAAAGGCATGGCTTATGCTTACCTTGTTTTAAGTTGCAAAAATTTTTACACAACAACTTTAATTTATACAAATGCTAAAATAAAGTAAACAATTTTAATTTAAAATATTTTTCTTAAAGCTAGGAGAAGGTAAACTTTGCATAATAAAACGAGAATATGCAAGTAAACAATAGACATGTGCTTAAAATATACAAAACTGTCTACAAACACAAATTAAAAGATATTTAAGTGTTGCTATTTAAACTTTTATTTTAAATATTTTTTTACATTGGTAACTATTTTGTTACATCAGTTAGGTACTAATAAACAGTCATGTCTGCAGCGTTGCAGACATGACAAATTTAATTTTTTTTAAAAAAGATATTAAATAATAAAATCATCAGTTTTTTTTTACTGATATAGATTAAGCATAGTAAATAAACAGAGGAAAATAAAATTTTAAATTAAACTTGTAAATAAAATCTGTATAAAAAAAAATTTGAAATTTTTTTATAAAAAAACTGCATTTTAAACCTATAAACACCTTTAATAATCTATCAAAGGCAAAAATGAAGTTTTTTTTATCTCCTAAATTGTTTGAATCTTATATGGGTTTAAAAACTTCATGTTAAATTAAAAATTTTGAATGGTTTAGTAACCTAAAAAAACTAACTTTTTGTTTGTCATGTCCGCAACTTTCAAACTCATTTTTTTAACATATTTCTTGAATTTTTTTAAAAAAATATCAAATTTTAGTTAAAAAGAATTTTATATTCATAAACTATGTTTAATTATCTTTAATTTGATATACAACACATTGTATCAAATAAAAAAAAATTTTTGACACATCAGGCTACAAATACTGTGGAATCGCCCATACTCAATTTTTAAAAAAAAATTTTATCCGATTTTTTTTCATAGATTTAATTTTTTTAAATATTTTTTTTTTAAATTAACGCTTCTGTAACTTTAAATTAGAAGCATGTGTATTTGTTATTTTTAAGTATCTTGCAGAAAGATAGAAAGGTATGTCACAGAAAGCCCGAAAAAATTCAGCCATAGGGATCAAAATCTTTACTGCAAAGAATCTCTATGGATAAGTTATAGTACATGCTATTAAATTTTATGATTTCTAACATATTGTTATTTTATTAAAAATTTGAATTTATATATATTAATTTTATAAATTTTGTTATTGTCTCAAATAATAAAATATGTGATTATATTAATATGCTAAATATGAGTAAACTAAACATTATTACAACATAAGTAAAATATTTGTTACCAAAAGGATGAATGCAATCTCTGTCATATGTAGTTTGACATAGTTTTTTGCATAACTAAGGGATAACATGTGAAGTATTTGTTATTGCAATTCTTAAGGTATCCTTGAAATGATGATGGGATTAAAAATTTTTTTTTTTCAATCTTGTATTCTATGAGGAATTAGTCTGTTTAGTTTATCAATCTTAGTAAAGCACTAAAGAGATTAGTTTGTCCATATATTTTATAAGAACTATCATAGAATTTTGCCCAACTCTCATTTGAAACAATCCTCATTATCATTATATGGCTTTTTTCAATTTCTTATCAATTTATTTTTTTAAACTGAATAAACCTAAAATGCCCTCGCTATGTACATTGATTATTACGCTTCATTTTAATTTTAACTTAATAAAAATTTAACATTTAATTAAAATTATTTGATTGAAATAATTAAAAGAGAACACAGAAAATTATCGAAGCTATTTAAAAATCAAATTTTTGAAGTATTGTAAGGGTAAAACTAGTTGATTGAGTAAATGGAAAATGTATGAAAGCAAGAAAAAAATGCACACCTCTGTAAATAATAAACAAATACAGGGGTCTGCCTAGGCCTAATTTACTACCGTTTAGCGGTACCTTAACAAATTCAACTTTAAGAAAAACGGTAGTTTCACAAATTCAACTTTAGGAAAAACTGTAGTTTCACAAATTCAAGTTTACCAAAAACGATAGTTTCACAAAATACTTTTTCTTAAAATTTTATTTTTGTGTTGATTTTTCAATATAATTTTTAATTTTTCACAAATTATGTCTAAATTTTCACAGAACAGGTACCTCTCAGAAAAAACCCTAACCTGACCCCTGAAATATAAATTATTCAGCTTTATATATCTTTTGATTCATGAATTGCTAAACAAATTTTGTTCAGTATTAAATGTATCGTAGTAGTTTCTTATCCCATAAATAATTTTTTTAGACTAAAAAATGTTTTGATTTGTTTTCAGTTTGTTACCAAAACTGATTTTTGACCACATCGTAGTGAATTTCTAGTTAAGAATTTTCAGTTAGTTTCGTTTAGTGAACATGGAAATTTATATTTCCCTTTGAATATTTAAATGAAGTTATTCTACATTTAATTATACTATTGTTTATTTTTTAAAACCATTTCATGAATTATGATCATATTTTTTTTAAAACTATTTTAATTGACCTGAGTTTAAAATTTTCATTGAAAAGTTTTAAGGCTTCAATATTTATTTTAGAAAAACAGTTAACTGAGGGCAAATTTCGTTTTCAATTTTTAATATACTTTTTACAAAATTTACTTTTAAAATTATATCTGTTATTAAAGCTAATTTATAACTATTAACTTATTACCTTTTCAATATTAAAGCTCATTAATAATTCAATATTCATACCTTTTAAATTGATACAGATTCCAGTTGACTCTGAAGAATTTGGCTTAGACTTGTCTTTGCCTGCAAGAGCAGCAGAGCAAGCTGAAAATATTGTTAGGAAAGTGTTAGAAGAAGCAGAAAATGCTGAGCAGTTAGTCAGAAATATTTGGGCAGGAGCCTGGAAGGTTTGTAAAAAACCTTTTTCTTTCTATTTTTTACTTGAATGTTAATGTTTTAATATAAGTGAATTTATCTGCTTAAAAGTACTACCATTCTTAGTTGTTAAGGTAATAAAACCTGGTTTAAATAAATAAATAAAATAAAATAAACTCTTTTTCCAACCATGACTGTAAAAAAAAATTTCATATTGTCAACCAGACAGCAGGCACTGGGTTATAACAGCATCTGCAGATTATTTTTAATCTGAGATTTCGAAAAAAAATGGAGATTAAATGAATATGATTGAGCACTAAGGAATCATTTAAACAATAAATCAAGTGGATGCAATACTTGGTTAAACACAAGATTTCTCAGAAGGATTTCAATTTTCCATCAGAAAATCTGTGCAAGCATCAGGCTGCAATTTGTCTGCAATGGAGCTATGGTGACTAGGATAAAGCAGAAATTTTTCTGCAAAGGAGCTATGCTGTATACTTTGATAGAATGATAAACATATTTTAGCGACGTGGTGTAACATTTTTTTTCCTTCTAACACTTCAACCTAAAACAATTAAACACTACTGAGATGATCAATTATTTGAACTTACCCTTGTTCCTTCACAAGGCTATGGGGCATATAGATTTCTTCCATCTTCTTTTGTAAGTATAATTTCATGTGTTTCATATTAAATTTAAATGATGTTATATTTAAATTTATCTACCTTCAATTTACAATTTTAAATTTTACAATACACATTGTTATGAATTTGTAAATATGTGTATAATTTTGTGAATATTCTTTTGTTATTAGGCTAAATATCTCAGACGGGCTTTAACAGTTTAATTAAAAAATTTGCAAGAAAATCGTTTATTTCAAACATGGTGGAGAGAAAATAACGCCTAATGTATTTCTTATAAAAAAATTCAGCTAAGCAGCATTTTTGCCTACATGGTGATAATTTTGGTGACAAAATTATAGTTCTGAAAAATTAAGAGTTTCAAAGTGATAAGACTTAAATGGTTTCAAAATACACCGGAAACAGTTACCCGGAATTACACAGGGATGAGATTCTTCCGTGGATTTCCGCTTTTTTTTTTCAGATTTTTCCATTTTTCCCGCTAATTTCCGCTGAAATTTTTTTTTGCACAAGTTAAAATGTTTTATGAGGAATTTAATTCTCCGCGGAGGGAAATTATTGAAGTCCCTTTTCCTCCCTCTGAAGTTTCTCTAAAAATCATTTCCTTGGGATAAAACTGGTTGACCTTTATCCAGGGATGAGATTTTTTTTGTCTCTCGAATTTCAGCCTTTTTATCAAAAACTCCGATTCTCTAAAAGTTTCGTTTTTTTAATAAATATCCCGTTTTTTTTTAAAATTCAGTCATTGAAGTAAAATAATTATATTTATTTACGATTTTCAAAGATAAACAGAAAATTCAATCTAGGCCCTAGCTGCTAACCCTTCCCCATTTTTACTTATTTATTAAATATCGTATATTATTATGATTCTTATTTACGTCATTTATAAATCCAATATTGTGTTTTGTATTTATACATTTTTAAAATCACGATTTTATTATCAAATCTTGATTTTCGTATTTACCTGATTTAAAAGATGAATGTTGCGATTCTTATTCAGGCGATTTAAATATTGTACATTGCGATTCTTACTTACGAGATTTAAAAAATCAATATCGCGATTTGTATTTACGAGCTTTTAAAGCCCTATGTAGCAATTCGTTTTCACGCGAGCTTAAAATCCAATATCGTGATTCGTTTTTGTGGTTGTAATATCGCGCTACTCTCATCCCTGATTACAGGCTACGCACCCTAGTGTAGAACACACCATCCATAAAATCACAGGCGAAGATAATGTTCTTAACATCCCCGCACTTGCAAAGTTCTAGTTAATCGAACCGAATGGAGCCGTGGTGGCTCAAGAAATAGAATATTTATGGAGTTATACAAGAATTGCCTGGAATCATGCCAAAATTTTTGGGTTCCAATGCCAAGCCTAAATAAATAGGAGTGTGCTGCACAGAAAATGGTACATAACATAAGTCTGTTTGTGACTGCAATAGTGTTATGATTTGCGTGTCTCTTGTGAACCGTCTGAGGTTTCAAAGCGTGTGGTTTGTTGTGTACTAACTGGTTATTTGTGCATTGATTGAGTTCTGAAAATTGCTGAATATTCTGAAAGATTTTACTAATAAATTTCTGAAGTCTTAAGGATTGTTTTATTCATCTCCAATTGACATGAACCCCTGTGCTCTGTACATTTCTGGTGGCGAAAGTGGGATTAGAGTGAGTACTTATTACAAGAGTAATGGCTGCAGATTGGTTGGAGGAGATGCTTCAGAAGATGGAGGAATAAATGAAAGCCAGCCAAGAGAAGGTGGAGGTCAAGTTAAACGCCAATAGGGAACAGCCCAAAGCTTATAAATTTCTGATTTATAATACATGTAATCTAACTTGTATCTCATCATTAAAATAAGTAATTTTAAGATAAGTTCATTTCTTATTAAATATTTTACATACAGTTTGGTGTCCATCCTCTATGGTTATTTTTTGTTGCTTTGATTTTTTACCTACCTGTTTGGATTACTGAGAAGCATATATTTTTAAAACTGTTTTTCTATTTTTATTAGACATAAATCTTTTTAATAATGTATTACAGGTGTGTCATTTTAGCACTCTTCCAAAATGGCTACAAGATAATGATTTTCTACATAAAGGACATCGTCCTCCTCTTAGATCTTTCAGTGCATGTTTTCGCTCTATATTTAGAATTCATACAGAGACTGGTAATATATGGACACATTTACTTGGTAAGAAAACCATTTATTAAATGAATTTATCTAAAATAAAAATTTCTGAACAAATTAACCATGTCTAATATGAACATTTCTAAATGAATTGACCATTTAGAAATGATCAATAGAATGGTCAAATGAGTGTACTAATTCAAGAATAAGGTTTAACTATTTCATTGAAACTCCAATTCCTAAAAATGGACCCTTCACAAAACTCTTGATTTCTAAAAACATCCTTCACGAATTTCCTATCTACTGAAACAAGCCTTTCACAAAAATCAATAAATAATGATCTGTTTAATTCTAAAATGCATTCTATTACAATTGAAAAGTAATTTTCTTCAACATAATAATGTGTATTTTTTGTGAATTGACGCAAAATTAGTCTGCTAAGAAATTGATTTAAAAAAAAAGAAAGAAAAGGGATAATTAATATAACTGAATGATGTCATCATATTGTATTCAGAAGATAATAGAGAAAATTAAAGATTGAGTTAGATGATATCTATGTAAACATTGTGTTTAGAAATATCTGCAGAAATTAAATTCTGCAGATAATTTTTTAAAATTTACTTGCGTGATTGTGTTTTTGTAAAATATTGAAATTGCAATTTTTTTTTTTAAATCATTAATTCAGCTTTCTCTAAAAAAAAGTTCTGATCTTTTTCTTGTCTTTGACAGCCCAAAATATTTGACGCCTTGATGAGCAATGATTAGGGCTGCAAGTTTGTCGCGGAAAAAAAGACCCCAAATTTGCGGAAAAATCGCGGGAAATTTTGAAAATTACACAAATTCTAAACATAAAAAAATTTATTATTTCAATGATGCGATAGACAGAAATTGCGCAAATAATAAAAAACGCTTAGAAATACACAACAAAAGTATTATTTTGAATTTCAAGCAATATTAATATTTTTATTTAAATGAACAGAATTTTGGTACAAAGTATTGTACATTGTCAGATTATTCTCATTTATCCTTCGTCTTTCATCACTTAATGCATTTTTATACATAGAAAACGATATTTCTGTGTCAATGCTGTTTTTAGGCACCGACAAAATTCGAATTGCCACTTTTGGATAGTTCGGTCTTTGATTTCCAAAACTCGATCAATTTTCCTTCACCAGCGCGCAATTTCTTGACCGTTGCTCTGTAAGAAGTAATTGCTATGAAAACTCAAACATTCTACATTCAAACTACTGGTTACATGTCCCTACTAACTACTAGTCCCCCCCCCCTTAATCTAAGAAACTGATCCATATTTAAGAAATCAGAAGCCGCCTAGGAAAAATTAACTGGGTATGTAGAAAGGCAGTAGAAATTTCATTGCCCAGTGCAATAGCATGTATAACAATTTTTTTGTCAAAGATTTGATTTATATCATTTTCCTTCTTTTGTGATTCCAATTTTATTTGTACTCTTACTGACTTCAGGAAAGTAATTACCCTCCCTAAGTGTAGAAAGACCACCTTAGTTGACAAGATTGTGATTATCTCTGAACTATTTTCATGTCATTTTGCTATTGATTCACTCCCCTAAATATCTAATCAGTTTTACGTGTTCAATTTAAGGTTCAGGAAAATAAAAAATTCTGTTTAATAAAAATAATAAATAAAACATGAAAAAAATCAAATTTTAAGCAATTTTCGCGCAAGTCAAGACATATTGAAAAATTTGTGGATTTTAGGAAAAAGGATGACAATTTCACAGAAATTCGCGCCACGACAAACTTGCAGCCCTAGTAATGATGTAGTAAAGCAATTCATAAAATAGACTTCGCAATTTGTGTTAAAGTGGTCTATGAATCACATATGATTCACGTTAATGTGATTTATTACCATCACGATCTTTGATTAATATTCTTGTAATTCTTATATCAGATGTTTTTTCAATCATATTTTTTGCTATCTATATTGAACTGATTTGCAGTTCATAAATTAGTAGCTGTTTGCAAGTCAAGATTTATCAAATGTTGTTATTTGTATCTCCTTGATTTAAAAATTACGCATCGCAATTCAATTTCGCTTTATTTCAAATTTAAACATTGAGACTCATACTCAAGCGGTTTATAAATCTTTAATTCTGATTAGTATGAACACTATTATAAAAAATAATTTCATGATTTGTATTCACATATTTTCAAAATCTTATAACTCGCTTCAGATTCACCAGGTTTTTATATCAAATATCGATTGTGGGAATTGCCTGACCAAAGTTAACCATTGCATTTTATATTCACATGATGGAAACTGGCATATTACAATTCACATGATTTAAAAAATTGAACATTGCGTTTCACATGTTTTTGAAACCCAATATAGCGATTCCTATGCACACATTTTTTAAATCCAATATTGAGATTTGTATTTATGCTATTTTTAAATCAAACATCACCAATCATATTCATATGATTTATTTTAGAGTTTACATAACTGATTTTATGAATAAAATTCAAAGAAAAAATAAGTACTTATAATTCAAATTCCGTGTCCTACTTATAATTTAAAACAAATTAGTAACATTAAAATTCTATGTTCACGTAGATAATCATAAAATATCCTTCATTCAATTTCTTTATAACAAAGATATAAAATTAAGCCTCTCTCATGTGGGTCTGTTGTGCAATAACATTATTTTGAAATTATACAATATGCATTATTACAATTATTCTATAAATAAAAGCAAGACAAATTTTTGAATAAAATGATGACAGCAATAAATGAGAGAATAAGATGCATAACTTTGTGTGTTTAATATTTCTTTCTTATCTATTATAAATGGTAATGGTCACATGAAGTAACTATCTAAAAGCTAAGCTCCATTCTTGTTTTATGTTATTCAAATAAGTATTTGCAAAATATGTGAATTTTAGTTATTGATAGTGAAGAAAAAGTGATAAGGAAATTGTTGCAGGACACTTACTTATAGATCCAAAAATAAATCTCAATTGAATCTCAGAAATGTCTTCTAAAAGTTAGAACACGCCATTTGAATGGGGGGGGGGAAGGTTCTCATCCATTTCAGAATAGACACATTTACATCCTAATTAGATATCAAACTGTCATTTAATTCCTATTGCTAACTCAAAATTTATCATTCCCTCTTTCCACTGTAAGCACCAGTGTTTATCAATTTTGAATTTAAAACATTTTAAATGTGTTATTTTCATTGAAATGTTTAAATTCCATCCATTAAAAAGAACTATGTGCATGAAAAATATTTTTTTTAAAAAAATTAAATAATATGAATTCATGTATACCATTGACCAAATCAATGGGCAATTCATTTAGTTAAACACTAGTTTTTTTTGACATTTTTTTTTAATTCCACATAAAAACACATGATTAATCTCAAATGAAATAATTATACATTCTCAAATGTATAATCAATTCAAATCAAATGTATCATTTGTCAATAACCATTTCAAGTTTTTAAAAAAACTAGCGTAGTTTTGAAACTTCTTAACAGAAAATTTACTCTGATATTTTATTAAGAACTTTCTATTTTTAAATTAATTTAAAATCATGTTACTATCATACATGAATAAAATTTCTGTCACAAAGTTATGAATTGAAAGTATAAGCTTTATCGAAATATTTTGCAAAAAAAAAAAAATACATAAATAAATTCTATGTTTGCAGCTACATACGCTATTTTAAGATGCTTAAAAATTTTGAAATAAATATTTTTAAAAAAAAAGTTTACTGTATAAAACTTCTATTTTTGGCAACAGAAAACTTTGATTCCATTTTAAAATTAAAAAATTGGTTACATTTGTATTCTGTTGTGGCAAGATTGTTCTAAAATAAAGTTATTAGTGTTTTTTCATGTGACATAACCCCAGATATTTCTATATGTATCTATTAAATTTTCTTTGTAATCAAGAAATTAAAACTCATACTACAAAAATGATTCTAAAACTGTGGTTTTTAAATAAATTGTTTGCTTAAAAAATATGTTATTTTCTTATTTAAACTATTTTTTTAACATTAAAGTTAATTTTAACTGGCAGAAGATTGAACAGGTCTGATGCAAATCAAAAACATGGTAATATAGTAACCACAAAATAATTCAGTGCAGCATGTTTGTTTACACTTTGAAAAATTTTTATGTTCACTTTGCTGGTACAAAATGTGTATTTAAATGGACAATTTCGGCAAATGTTAATTTATTTAGTTATTAAACATTTAAATTGCCCCAAAAGGCCTCCGTAAGTGATGCAGTCGAAAACGACCCCTGATTGGTTATGACGTCAAATGTGCCGAAGGGAAACGTGCCGTCTTCATCCGCTAAGGCTATTTCAATGCTCTTTTAGTTTTGATATCACGTATATCGCATGAACATCCTTTGTAAATTATCAGTAAAAATTTTGTGAATTAAATTTACGGTTCTGAGAGCGTGTGCAAAATGAAAGAAAGATTTTAAAACTTCAAACAATGTTATTTATCATTAAAATATCTGAAGAAATGATTATGTAGCTCTTTTCAGCGAATCAACATTTCTTTTCGGCTGAAATCAGTGGTGTTAAAGTTCATAGAAAATACTATTTTATTCCACTTACTTTAAAATTAAAATAATGCTTCATAACAACCTAATTACTTAATTAAACTAAGTCGCAGATTGGATAGAAATTTTATACATTTTGATATAGGACGGATGATTTTATAATTCGTTATTGCATTAAAACAAATCAGTATTTTCATAAATCTAGTCCATTGAAAAATATCAGTCCATAATCGTTACAATCTATGTGCTAATGATCAAAAATTCAAATAATGTAATTTAATGTTGCTTCTTTAATTTATTTATTACTACAGTTGAAGGATTTTCTTTTTAAGTAAATATTTACTAATGCAGTTTATGTCATCTTTTTTTTTTTGTTTCACTATGTATTAAATATTTAAATACGCATTAACGCTTATATTTATTATTCCTAGCTTAAATAGGAATTCTGTTACAGTTCGAAATTATTTTTATTTTTAAATTTATAAATTTTAATTCCTATTTCTGCAATATAGTATTAATAAAGTATGGTTATTGTTAATTTCTCTCCTTATTTGTGCAAGCTATTTGTCAGTGCTTGCAATGAAGACTTCTAATATAGTAAAATTAAAACATTATACATTTTTAATTAAAAAAAATTTAATAAAATAGTTTTAAAAAAATCTCAGGTTCTGCATACGGTATAGCCGAAAATGTATCAACACTTTCAAGAATCTAGTCCATTGAAATATATCTGACCATCATCATCTAGTTATACTTAAAGTTTCACTTAATTTCTCATTTATCCATATCTAATTAACTTATTTATCCTCAAAATTTCAGCGAATATCATTAAGCTGGAAATTTTTGTTTCACTAAAACTAGGGAACAAAAATAAAAAATTAACTTATGCAAAATGGAAAGAAATTCTAATGCACATTCTTTATTATTTATTAAATAATTAAAAAATAAACAGTAATGTTGATATTTTTTCTCAATATTTTTATTCTTTGAGTAAATAGGAACTTTGCTATGGCGAAAAATTATTTTTATATGCATTTATAAAATTTTATTCCTATTTCTGCAATAAAGAACTAAATAAATGCATATGCTTNAAACTCATATATATATATATATATATATATATATATATATATGAATTTAAATATATATTTATATATGAATTTGCTGGGATCACAAGTTTTTTAAGAGGCTACTGCTATGAGGACAATTACATGCTTTGAATTCACGCTAGAATAAATAGATAAAAATTATCAATAACTTAAGCTGTCCTACATTTTAAAATTAAAACTATTTATTCTACATAAGAAATTGATCCAACATTTCTTTCACTTAAGATGAAAATAAATCTTCCAAATGAACTTGAAGAATACATTAAAATTAAGATTATAGTTAAAAAATGAAAAAACGAAGTTATTTTGTATTTATAACGCATCATTCATAAGCAATACCATGCACTTTTTTATTAAACTAAAAAATCTTAAATATTCCGAGCTAGAAAATTTCATCAAGTATTAACAATGTTTCAGTGGGTACCACTGAAATTTAACATTGTAAAAATACGTTATATGAAATCCACATTTTTATTAAGCGATATTAAGAAGCAATTTTTTATACGGATAGATTTAGACCATCTAAAGTGGTTGGATTTAATTAGAAAATTTAAACGAAAGCAAGAACATATTGGTTTTCACAGCACAGCTATTGTAAGTGAGCGGCAGATGGACACGTGTGACGTCAGTTCATGAATAATCACGTGACTCCCCGTTTCGGGCGAAAACGAAAGTAAGCTTTTTTTGATTGAAAAAAACTAAATAAATAGCCTTCTTAGAAAAGTAATAAAATGTTTCTGGGAGTTTTGAGAGATTCTGAATGCATTAAAATTAAAAAAAATTTTGACTGTAATTGTCCATTGTTGTTATTACATAAAAAATGTTTGTTCATGAATGCAGAAATATATTAATGGTTAGAGAGAAGCTGAATTCATGGAAATTGATACAGCCAAATTGAATTTATTTTTTTGGTAACTTATAAAATCAAATATTCAGAAAAAATATAGATGGGAATGAAGATACAAATATTCTACACTGATTAAATTATTTTTCTGATACAAATCTGTATTTTCCTTTGCATCCCTAATTGATGTCAGTCTTCTGTCAAACGAAATTTAGCCTTATATCATATTTTATTTTTTTAAAAATAGTTAAAAGTGAGAAAAAGAATACCATTTTAAAAAATCTTGATTTTAAAATCATTTATTAAAGTTAAATTTTTAACAGTTGTTTAAATTTGGTAGTTTCTAACCACAGTGGTTGGAGATTCTAGCATTAGTCTTTAGAAAGATTAAAAAATTGAAATCTGAATATCCTTGTTCCTTGCATCATGCAAAAAGTAATTTTTAACCATACATAGAGTGGAACTTATTTTCAGAAATTACTATATTTAAAAATAGACTTTTTGAGCTATTAATAGGGGTGATTAAAAAAGCTGAACAATCTTAACTATATTAGCATTAGCGTGGAAAAATTAGCTTCTGCAATAAGGAAGTATGCGAAAGATATTTGATATTTTCTTTGCAAAAGAAAATTGTTATTTTCTGCTTAACAAATAGTTATGTTCAAAATTTTAGAATTTGAAGGTAATATTTTTATCGCCTCAACGCCACTTAATGTTGATTATTAAATGCGAATTTTTTAATTATGAATTTATCACATTTAATTTGTTTTAATGCTATTCAAATACAATGGTTTAGAGTTCAAAGTTTGTTACTGTAGGGGTGATATTTTAACTTGTAATTCTAAAAGCTTGTACAACTATTTTTAGGAAATATCTTGGAAAGTATTACTAAGCAATCAACAAAACTGATATTTGTTTTTAATTTCTTGAATTTTAAAAATTCTTAGCAAACTCACATTTTTTTGGCCCATTGATGTTAAAAAAATATCAATTCAAGAGTTATAAGATTTTGCATACTTTTTAATTCTGATAATTGATAATTTGTCAACCTATCTTATTAACAGTTGAATCAAAGTACGTTATCTATATTCTAAATAATTTAAAATGAAATCTCATTAAAGGCTGTCTTCTATTTGTTGGAATTGCCACATACTTTCTGTCACGACCATCAGCTCTAATTCCATGGGAAGAGAAAGCAGTATTTGCTACGTTCTTTGCAAGTGCAATAATATGTCTTGGGATGTCATCTATGTTTCATACTGTAAGTTGTCATTCAGAACATGTTGGAAGACTGTTTAGCAAGTAAGTGTATAAAGTATTTTTATGGTTATGTTAGTTGTGAAGTTCTGTTTATATACTTTTTATTTCAATTTTTGTTACATTAGGAGACTTGTCAACAAATGTAGTTTATATTGCTTAAGTCATTAGTTATTTCAAATGATACATGACTCATATTCAGAATGCCTGAGAATCAGTAAGCTTAGGATAAATGAAAATTAATGGTAGTTTAGTGCAAAAAGTGTGAATTTTCCATGTTTTTTAGAATAAACAATGCCCCATATTAAAAACACCAATGAAAGCAAACGTGTACCCAAAGCTCCTCTAGAAAAGCATTAAAAAAAATTTTATCTGAAAATATCCTCAAGTTTATATTAGCCTTTTTAGAATTGAAATTTAAAGTTTCAAAAAATAGTAACAAGCAAAACTTTTTTTTTCTAATCAGGCTATGAATATCATTCACTTTCATTTTTATTACTGTAGGATACAAAGAATTTTTATGTTAAGGGACATATTATTAGTACAGTAAATTATTAATCAGATGTTAGAAATTAAATCAAAACTAAGTTATTTTGAAAATTAAATATGTGCTTGAAATGTAGTTATTAGTGTAACGAAAAAGATACTCATGCTTTTCATACACTATTTGACTATACTTGTCATGTAAGCATTCATTAAAGTTGATTCATTGTAAGCTATTGATGAAATAATCCAGTATCTGTTTAAAAAAAAAGCCATATGTCTATTGTATCTGTAAGCCAAATATAATAGAGAACAATTACGAAGTACAGCTCATTGTCTATTCCTTGGAGCTATGGAACTAGAATTTGGAAGGAGGTATTTGAAAACTTTAACAAAGCTCTATAAAGCAATGAAATTAAATGTCTTTGTAGGCACTCTTGTGAAGTCCCTCTTTTTGAATCACAACAATGAACTAAGCAAAAAAATGACTTCTGGAGTTCAAATGGAAAGTCTGTTTTAAATGTACGCTCAATTTTGTGGCATGTGTACACATTTGATTTAAACAATAGTGAATGGTCTTTTACAAGCTTGGCATTGTTGTCATCTTTTGTCACAGTGAGATAAATGCTTAAACAATTGTTTAACAATACTTTTGAGTTTCTATAAATAGTATAAAGTATCTTCTGACTTGTTATTTATTGATTCTACTCAATGTTGAAACTTCTTGATTTAAGATTCGTTAATGACTCCATGAAATAATCAAAGCCTCCTCATTGTGATATTTCTTAAAACTAGTTTAACTTAGCTGGGAAGTTGTGAATAGTTAGAAATGTTATAATCTGAGTCTGCAATCTTTGATATTAATATCAAGAAACGCTTTGTTTGGACTTAACATTTCCATTCTTTCATTTTGTAATGTTTTTATTTTGATATGTTGGATATTATTAATTATAAAATTAGAATTTAAATTGTCTCACAATTAAACAAATAAACTGATATTCACAAATAAAATTGTGGTTCACAAATAAAATTGAGATTGAAGCCTCTAGTTCACATTTATTTACTTTTATACAGAAACCATCATTGAATCATTTTGAAATGTTATATTTCATTATGTGAATTTTGCTTATTCAGAACCAATATTTTTGAATTTACATTACCTTTAGACATTTTGTTGATGTTTACACTTTTTGTAATTGCAGTTTATTTGCTTCTTTGGGTGTTGTGAAATCAAAATAGCACAATTTAATTTATAAATATTATAAACCACTGTATATAACTTATCATTAAAAAACTAATTATCATTAATCAGAAGATGTATTTTATTTTAAGCACCTGAAATAGTTTTAAACTGTTTTAAGAGTAATATTAAAATTGATAATCCTATTTAAAAATTGTTTGACAAACTAAAGGCTGAATTGTCAGAACGCAGTCTAAATTCGGTAGTTTAAACCCCAGTTCCGTGGTTTACGTAAACCCGGTCTAAACGAAAAACTAGTCTTCGTTGCTCGAACGTGGTTTTGCCGAGGTTTAACGAGACTGGAGCAAGACCAAGCTTATCGGATGTATTTGCACTACAATTTTGCCTAGTTGATAAATTCACCCAATCAGGTTGAAGGAATCGTATCTGTCACTATTTGGAAAAGTCTTGGGATGTTTTGTTTACATTTTGTAGATACGATCATAATGAAAATAAAGTTAGTTATGTTAGAATCATAGCATAGTTAATCAAAAAAGAAATGTTTTTTATAAGATAGAATTCGGTTTTGTTAAATGTTGTTGTGTGTTTGTATATGAAAAGTTCTCATGCGGAACATTATATTTTAAATATTGAACAATGAACATTGGTCTATATTCTATTGCAAATAAAATAATACTTATCTGACTTATTTTAGAAAGAAAATTCTAAGAAATAATGGATTTTTAAATAAAAACTTTACATGGCAAATGAAAATCTGAATTAAAAAGTGCTTTATAAATAAAATTTATGTATAATAACATGTATACTTGTTTTTATTACTTTATTTCTCTATATGTGTTATACAAAAATACATTTAATAAAATAATCTGATTTTTTTTTCATTCTATATAAATGAAAATGAGTGAAAAATAATTTTTCTATCATGCATGGAACATTTTATTATTATGATTGATTTTGCTATGATTTTTGTTGTAACTTAACAGTTACCAATTAAGTGAAGGTAAGTAATATAGATATAATCAACATTGGTATTCTAGACATAAAATTAACTTGTTTATAAAATTGGTTTTAAAATAAAATTTCTTAAAGAAAATTTACTAATAATTAAGTTTTTCCAATAAATATACAAAGTAAAATTTTTATAGGACTCACACACAGCACGAGACACACAATCTTAGAACCTCATTTTAGTATATTTGTTGATCACATATTTTTATAAATTTTCTTATGTGCGTTTCCTTTCAATGCACAACATTAAGGAATCTGCATAATTTCTATATAACAAGAATATATATATTTTGAATATATGTATTTAATTATATATATATATATTATTTCTATTTGTGTAAGCAACATTAATACTTGATTATGAGACTTAGTATTAAGTAGATAAACTATTTTACAATGATGTTTTGTAAGTCACTCAAGCAACCATTGTTCCTTATAGACCTCAGGTTTTTCAATATTTAAAAAAGAATATGTTTGTCCATTAGCAGAAAAGATTTATAGATTGCTCCGTGTACCTAAATCAAATTTTTGCCCACAACCAGGCAGTAGCTTACAAGAAAGAAAGAAAAAAACATCATGAAAGAGTATGAAATTCAAGGGCTAACTTGTAATTTCTCCCGGGTAAACAACTGTATATTTTTTAAAGATAATTTTGTTTCTTTTGACAATTGTTGTTGACACAAACATATTCCGATATAGAAGTATTACCTATATATAAATTTTTGCTCACATAGTTTTTGATAAAAGAGCACAGTACATGATATAGCATAAAAGATTTATAGATTGCTACCTGTGTACCTTTATCAAATTTCAGCCCTCAACCAGGCAACAGCTTACGAGAAAGAAAAAAAAACCCATCATGACAGAGTATGAAATTTAAGGGCTAACTCGTAATCTCTCCCGGGTAAACAACTGCATATTTTTTTAAGGTAATTTTGTTTCTTTTGGCAATTGTTGTTGACACAAACAATTGTTATTGACTACTAGTTAGATTAGTACTGTTTGCCATAACTTTGGCACCAATCAGTGAAAGGTATTGTGTCAGGTTGCTTTATTTACTTTGGTGATTCGAAGACATGCCATCACAATTTTGATCATCTGCAGAAGGAATGGCTCCCCTGATTTGGTAACCCGACGTCCTGCATGCGAAGTCTAGCACTTCATGGTAAAACAGTTTTAGGAGAACCGGTACAGCACACCCTTAGTCCCTACGCAGGCTGATCAAAGTGGTTACTCACCCACTTATTGACTGCAGCCAGTGGTGCTTGACTTCAGAGTTCTACAGGTAACAGTGTCTTAACGATCAGTCCACTGCAGGACTAATAGAGATGAAAAAATGAACTTCAGAATTTAAATTTGTATTAAGGAAAAATTCTACTGTATTAGATTTTATTCTTGCAATTCAAGGGCATGCACATTCTAGAAAATTTACTTAAAAGCATAATTGAAAACTATTAATAAGAGAGGAAAATCATTTGTATGTATTTAAAAATGAAGTAAGCTTTTATGAACTTCAAAAGTTTTTTTTTCTTTCAAACAGCACTTTTTATTACTCACATGCTTAATAACTTCTTAAACTTTCTTTCGGGCTTACTAACTTGATTTAGTGCTAAATTTATCACCATGCTGATATCTGTAATTTTTTATAACATATAAGATGTTATATATTATATACATACTATTTAGATAACACAGATTTTTTTTAACTTTTTTTACTTTTTAAATTGCATTATAGTTTTTAATTATTAAACAATAAAACATAAGCATTATTTGATCTATAAAATTTTTTTTAACAAATCATATTTTTACTGTAACATAAACCAACATGAATGATAATATTATGGTGTTTAATTTTTAATTCCATGGAATGAATGGCCTACCAATGTCACATATTTGTTGTCTTTTATCATTGACTACATACGCAAAGTTTGTTTCTCATATTTTTTCTTTAAATATATCAAAAATGTAGAATAATAAAAACATGAGTATGTCTTCATTTATTAAGGATTCAATAAAATTATACTTAGTGAAAACAAGCTCTCTTCAAAGAATCATGTTGTGGTGTTCACTTGCTCAGTTGCAAAAGTCTAGAAAAATAGCAATTTTACAATCTATTTGGCACATCACTCATTTTAGTTGGCCCGATAGATGATGTTACGGAAATATCCCTGAATTGTGTTAGCTCATTTAATAGTCTATTTTCCCTTAAGAGACAACTGCTTTCTGCCACTCTTACAGGGCAAAAATCACTAATTTCCATAGCATTAAAAGTTTATCTCCTGGTTATTGACAATATGCACAGAAAAAAAATATTTAAATGCAACCTATTTGTCGAACTTAGTTAATAGTGCCAAGACGAACCAGTTTTCAGCATCTTAAATGACTTTCAGTCAATTAAATATAAAAAATTTAAATGTGATTTTACATAGCTCATAAAGCAGTTCAAAGAAAAATTTTGGTATGGCCTATCTCATTTTACAGTAATGAAAAATTCTTTTTCATCTAGTCTATTTGAGCTGTGCTAGAGACATGCAAATAAAAATTTAAGAAAGTTCAACTAAGTTAGTCTATTCAAGTAAATATCTCTGCACTTAGTGTTACAAAAACAGAGATCTTTAACAAATTAATTTTCGCTTTTATTTTTCTTATAATTTAGTTGAAGTAAAAAATGTTTTCACCAATTCACACTAAAACTTCATCAATAGTAACAAAATAAAATGAAAAGTGGCTGTGAATTTTTTTTCTTCTAAATTAAGTTTTAAAAACACAATTTCTTTCAACTTCCAGCTACTAGCATTTTATTTATGTAGTTGAGATTTATAAAAAGGAGAATTATAACATGCACTGTAACTTTTATTCATGGCATGAAGTTGTTATTCTCTGATTTAGAACATTTTACTAGGTGATGTTTTTTTTTAATACTTTAGAAAATGTAGCAAACAAATCAAAAAAGATAAATTAATGTATGTGCTTTGAAAATCTGTTGACTGCTACTAAAAAACATATGTTAAGAGATAAGAAATTTTATAAATAAATGAAACTCCCCTCTTTAAAAAAATCTAATCAATGTTTGAAACTATCAAATGAAGTAAATAGTAATAATTATTGTCAAATTGTAAAGAATCCAATACTTTTTATTGACAATAGCACTATTTTAAGATCAGTAATTAGTCTATTCAAACATTCATGATTTTTAATTTAAAAAAAAGTAATCTCACTCTTTTTAATCCTTAAATTTGTAATTTCGTATCCCTCACGTTTTATTCCGAAAAGGTCTATCTTCTGTGTGGTTGAATATAATATACAAAATCACTCAAAAAGAAAGCCCCATTCAGCAAGTGAGATATTAAATTATCTCAATGTTTATTTTCAAGAAAACAAGAATTACTGAATAGTATACTGTTAATTCAGAAAATAAAAGAGGCATTCTTTCATAAGATTTTATAAACACTTTAAAAGATACAGAAAAAATATACGATATTAACACTAAATTATATTATGGTTTCTCAATAACACGTGCGTATTTATGTTTTGAAACTGATAAAACAATACAGAACTAAACATCTAGGAAAGCGAGATTGACGTTCTCCAATTGTAAGAAGACGATTGAGGTTTAAAACTCGTCTGCCTGGTTTAAACCTACCTCATACTAGGTTTAACTTAGACAAGGCTGAACTAGATCTTCAGAACCGCGTTTTTCCTTAAACTTCGTTTCTGCAATGCAGCTTGGTTTAACTTCGCGGTTTAGACCAGGTTTAAAGTTAAACCTCGTTCTGACAATTCAGCCAGAGTGTTCAGTTTTCTTGTTTGTTGGTGTAGTAATTTTATAAACAACAGGACTTCAAAGAGTTTTATGTATAAAAATTTTAAGTTTGACTTTCATTTCTCAAAACTTGTTTTGTTAAACTCTTTTTAATTATAAATTAATTCTGCCAATTGTTTCAAACTGGATTCTACTATCTATTTTAACTTGGTATTCAAAAACCAGCTCATTGTTTTATATATATATATTCAATTTCATTTTCCATCATTTGATCATCATCCACCATTCACTTTTAAGTTAATTTACCATTTGCTGACTTGTCAACTGATCTTGTTTAGTTAAAGGTTCTTTGGAAATATGTTATTATGTTTAATCTGTTAATGACCTTCATAATTTTTTAACATTCTTCACGTTGTATGTTTGAAGCTATGTTTTGAGAATAAAGCTTTTTCTTACCCTGAGTTTTTATTGAAAGAACTGTAGAGAAAAAATTATTAGTATTTATCTGATTCAGAGCTTCTTAAATTGTTGGTCCTCAAATTACTTATGGCATTATTAAACGTAACTAATTCAAAAAAATTTATGACTTAAATTATGGGGTCATAAGAAATTTTTTTTTTGTACTGTTAAATTCACTGAAAGGGCTAAAGTCAAGGGATAGCAGCATGCAAATATGTCGCTGAGTATTAGCATGATGTAAAAAAGTATTACTAGGCAGTGCGATATTAGGTTTATTTAAATGGCCTGAAAAATGTAGGTTTGGAGTTGGAACTTTAAATTGTAGAGTCTGCAAGCCTTAATTTTCGTCATATAACCTCTATAAACTTGTGGATTCTATGACTCACTGGGCAAGATAAGGTCTTTTTTGATATCATGTTTCCTCTTTTTTTTGGCATTTTAGTTTGATAATAGAATTTTTTAAGTTTCAAAATCTATTTTCAATGAAACATTCTAACTTTCTCCGCACAAATTTTTCAGGTGAAATCTGTTTACAAAGAAAAGATTCAACCAACTGAGTTGTTGAAATTTCTTTTCAAAGTGTGTCTTTATGTTTTTCTGTATTCAAATTTAATTTTGTAACAAAGTTCTTCATGTCCACTATAATTAAATGAGTGTTATTCTGTCAGGGTTTGAAAAAAACCCGGGTATTTTAGAAAAAACCCAACCCGTCTGGGTTTTATTGAAAAAACCTGGGGAAAATTGGTTTTTTTCATTTAGTGCTCATAAGCTTTAAGTTTTACTGTGTAAATATTTTTATTTACACAGTATTGTACAGTGTTGTATAAGCAAGCTTAAAAATAGAAATAAATCCAAAAAATTGTTTTAATTTTGTTACATGTATTTTAAATTTAAATAACGCATTATCACTAATATATATTTCAATCTTCTTTAGTGTTAGGTACATAACATTTCACAATTTTTAACCCACGCATTATAAAATATAAATGCAGTAATATAAAAAGAACAAGTTTATTAATCTTTTTGTTTTCACACACATTTATTTACTATATTTATTAAACATATATATATATAACCCATTATAAAATTACCAGTAAATATTTATTATCAGTATAAACTGAAATTTCACCTGATTTTTGACTTTAATAAAAAACTGAAATAAATGTTTAATGGTCTTCCATGTTTTTATAATAAGATTAATAGAAAGTGAAATTAAAATTAAGTATAATTATAGAGTATCAGTCACTTCTCCATTTTTTTCAAATAATTAACCCTAGGAAAATGATTTTATTTTTAGATAAATAATTTTAAAAAGTTTAAGCTTATTTTTTTAAAGCCAGAAAATAAAACTGTTTAAATTTGTTAATGTATCACTTAGTAAAAAAAGATTCTTTTTAATTTTTTTAAACATATGAATTAATAATTATAACCGGTTTATTAATATATGAAGCCTGCTTTTATATTGATCTTTTGAAAAATTGATCTTTTCAGACTATATTATTTAAATTTCTATTTGATTTAATTTCATTAAAATATTTTTTTTTTGAAAAAACCCACCTAAAGTTTTCAATAGTACTTTAAAATTATAGATTCGAGTTTCTTTTACTTTACAAATATTAAAAACTTAATCATATAAATCCTGCAACTCTATTTGACAGACTTATGCTGCACAATAAATTATATAAAATTAAATGTGCAACAATAAGTTTTAATAAAAAATTTTTTGAAGAAACCCACTTATCGTTTCAAGTGGGTTTTTTCAAAGTGGGCCCGCCCAATAAAACCCGGGCAGGTTTTTTCAAAGTGGACCCACTTGGCGAACCCTGTATTCTGTACTAATCATTTATCTCATAGACTACAATTTAAAAATGTGCTTATTTTTTGTATATTATTTATTTCTATTAAACAATGTAGTGTATATTAAGAAGAGAAACACTTTTAAAAAAAAATTTTAAGTATATATATATAGGTTAGATTTTAATATTTTGCAACCTCTGAAGATGTAACAGTAGTGACTTGAATTACCTAAACTGGCATTAAATGGTAGTCTTTATGACAAATGTTTATTTAACTCTGGTTGAGAGTAGTTAAAGGGTTAATTAAATTCAAGAAAAGCCTGCAAGAGGTATCACGGAAGGGATAAAAACTTTAAGAAGCCTTGATCTAAGTGATGTAATTCAACATTCATACTTCATCATCCATCATAATTCATCACCCACTTTACTTCATTATTTGTTTTTTAAGTCTATAAAAATTGTAACAAATATATATTCTTTACATCAAAGTGGAAGCTAACTGAATAAAATATTCACTCAGCCTTTGACATATACTTACTATCATTTATTACTGTTTTAGAATGAATTATTACTTCATATTAATGATCTCATCTTTGAAGTACAGTTGGTGTTCTGACATATATTTTTCACCATCACTAATTATTAAATAATGTAACTGTACAAAGAGAAGAACAGATGTTGGCAAATCTGATATTGCATTTAAATACATTTGTTAAAATATATCATTCTTATAAAGTGTTTAATTTTCTCTAGGCTTGACTACTGTGGAATAGCTGTTTTAATTATAGGATCATTTGTTCCGTGGCTTTACTATGGTTTCTACTGTGATTATCAGCCCAAAGTTTTTTATTTTGTTCTTGTTAGTGTACTTGGTGCGGCTTCCATTATTGTTTCAATGTGGGATAAATTTAGCGAACCACAATTCCGTTGGTTGAGAGCTGGTTAGTAAATTTTAATTTGGCACTTTTTTCCCTCTTTATAGTATTTCAGCATATTAACAGAGAAATTCAAAACAATACAAAGGGGTCAAAAGACATCCCCTTTAATTTCAAAATGTAACTCAAGTATATTTTTTTTATGTAATCTTTTGAGTTTCATTTGTATTTTAAGCCTACAGGAAAATATAGAATAGTGCTGAAAAGTATTTTGACAGCATTTTTTTACACAGTTAAGGTTGCTTAAAATGTTTTGCACTAATCGAAAAAAAAATTCGATTGGAGCTTAATGGGACTAGTGTTCCTTGACTTTACTGTCAATTATAAATTAATGTTACACAAATGTATAATAGTCACAAATCAAGTGTTATTCCATTTCATTACTAAACACTTGTCCAATATGCAGTAACCAATATTCAGCATATTTTTTATTCGACATCGATCTAAGTTCTTGTGCTCATCACATATATACAGTCAAACCCCACTATAGTGAACAATGTTTATAGTGAACTCCCGGATATAGTGAACAAAATGTTCGGTCTCGTGCCTTGCTATACACATATGTTATTTTTTGTGGATATAGTAAACCAAAAAAGTGAGGAAGTTAGATATAATGAACCTTTTTTTGTCTTCAACTGATTTTTTTTATTTTTTAACAATTTTGAAATTTGTACTTCAAAATAAATACATATACCGATTTTTAAAATAATCTATAGAGGGGAATGTAGCGATAAGCATTTTTTCTTGTTTGCTTCTTTTATCTCACTTTCCCATCCTTAAACAAACCAAGCAGATGTTTCTAATCCAGGCACCTGTAAGGTGTCAGTGGGCTCAATATGTATTTTCTGTCAAAAGAAAATTCATTATTGGTTAGTGTTGATAAGGCCCTCATTTCACCTCCTTTTTGCTCTCAGTTCAGTTAAAAAAATCCTGCAACCAAGTCTCTCAAATTTAACTATGGCGAGCAATAAACGTAAAACATTCTCCATTGATGATAAAATTTGCATAATCAGAAAAATTTAAAATGGACGCAATCAAGCTAATATTTGCAAGGAATATAAACTATCCAAATCTGCAGTTTGTAACATATGGAAAAATAGGCGATTAATAATTTCTACGCATAAAAAAAATTTAGATGGCAGAAAAAAGTTGAGAAAAGCAGATCACAAGGATGCTGAAGAAGCATTACTGAAGTGGTTCACTAATCGAAGAAGACTCAATCTTCCTGTATCTGGACAAATGTTGATGAATTTCCTAAGCGATTTTATGAGACTTCTTTTATGTGCTCGAATGGCAGGTTAAACAGGTTTAAAAAGCGGAATGACAGAAATTCAGGAAAAATTATCAGAGTCGGGAAGTGTTTCCCTTTCTGATGTTGAGGATTGCTCATCTGCTAAATATTACTAATTTTTTTTTTTTACGCAGGACGAATAGTAATGAAAAATAACACATTTTTTGCTACTACATAATATTTTTGTCATTTATTTGAATAATGTGTAATAAAAGGGAGTTTAGGAACCATTAGTTAAGTTGCCTGTGTAACAGATATAGTGAACTCCCGGTTATAGAGAACCGAAATTTCGGTCCCTTGAAGGTTCACTATAGTAGGGCTTGACTGTATATATAAGATCTTACCATCATATTTTTTCAAACAAGTAAATTTGGATTAAATTTTTTTATAACTTTATTGTTCTAGATTCTTTTTGAGACCTGAGTTTCAATTTTTTATACTGCTCTTCTAGGAAAAGTATCTTTGTGTAATTGCTTTTTCTGCTTTCTCAGATCTTTATATGCTTCTGGATCACTAATTTGTAGGCATTATTTTTCTTGGTTGTTGCCAAAATGTACTCTAGATCGAACCAATCCATTTTCTTGTTCTTATTTTCCTCTGGTAAGGTTTCATTTACAGTGTCGCTTATTATATTCTTAAGTATTTCCTAGTCATTTTTGTACCATAATTTATGGAAGAAACACCGCACCTATTGTAAAGGCTGCACCCGCGATAAAGAGACTTAAAAGAAAAAAATCATGGTAAATGCCGCACATGTTATAAACGCTGCACCCATAATAACGATATAGTGGCAAAAGTGAATACAGTATAGGATCCAAAATCCGGCACTCACGGGACCGACAAAATCCCGCGTTTCGGAATTTGCCGAATTTCGGATCTCTTCCGGATATTCCAATGTGGCGCCCATATATTACGATAATTCAATTACGCTGTTAATTTCAGAAAAACCAATAAATTTAGCTAAGTTTCAATTGTAGATTATGATGGGGTGAATTTAAAACTGTCCCATCTTTAGAAATTTCATTAATTAAAATAATAAATTTCATTATTTAAAATAATAATCTATATGATATAATCAAGAGATAATTCAAGATGAAGTAATCAGAATTCTCCGAAAAAGAAATAATCGTTTCTTCTTCGGCGCAAGATCATTCTCATTTTTTCTTTTACATAACATTTTGTTTTAGCAGGAGACGTTCACCTCTCCAAGAAAAAAAAATAATAAATCTAGCAAGGAACTACAAAAAAAGTAACAATTAATGCTAAGAAACTAACAATGAATAACTACAAAAAAGAAGCAAACAAATAAGAAAAAAACAAGTTAACAAGTAACAAAAAAAGTAACAGTTAATAACTAATAAAAAGATAAATAAATCAAATTTAAAAAAAAAGCAGCAAGCGGGATAGAATTCATTTTGTACACCAAGTGAAAAAGAAGTTTCAATGTCAAAAGGGTGTGGCTAATTTATGGTCAAACAGGAGAGGGAAATGTGGGGACAAACCAGTACACTTGCACAGCTGTCAAGATTGATTGATCAGTTTCTCCCAACTTGCATTTCTTTATTTTGTTCATTGGAAATGCAGATGTTTTTACTTTTCAATTTCAACTGCTTTAGGAATAGATGTTTTGTTTGACACAGATTTATTATTATTTCATGTTTTTGTTTTTAAAAGATAAAATATAGTTACTTACTTCAAGGGGAAAAAAATATTCCAAAAAAGAGAAAATATGACTGTTTTTTTTTCTCTCTCTTATCAATAAAAATTTATTTAAAAAAAAAAGCACCTTGTAACAAAGTGAGAAAAAATGGGAAAGAGCTATCAACCACGCGGTTTGACCGGAATTAGAGCGAGATCAACCCACTTTCTTTAAGGGGTGGTGGGTTAGCAATAATGGTGCCATCTTTTGCCATAATTCGCAACTATTTTGATTAAAATTTTTATTTTCTCTTTGAAAAATGTAAAATTTATTTTTAAAATATCGTAAACGCTGCACTTAAAATTTTGAAGCTTTTAAACTCGTAAACGCCGCGGCATTTCTTCCATAAATTACGGTACTCCTGTTCCATAGGATCTGCTTGTTACCTCTATTTAACTCTTATAAAGGTTCAAAATGTCTGGGTTTTGGAGTTCAGAAACAATATACATCTAATTTTTGACAAAAGCAAAGTGATCTGAATCCATTTTTCTCTTCTATAGCATTTTGTACCCAGTAGGTTAATTTGGTGTCTAAGATCTATAAGAATATGGTTGATTTAGTTGTATGTCTTCCCATCGGGTAACCTTCACTTGGGCTTTATAAATATTCTTATTCATGGAATATTATGCCATCAATCAGTAATTCATTTGCAGCAGCTAAGTTGGTCAAAAATTCCTTATTCTCATTAATTACTTGATGTAAGCTTTGTTCTCCAATATTAAGCTTTAGCACATTGTCATTTCCAATTTTTGCATTGAAATCCTCAATCAAAAGATTAGTGTTTAATTTGTAGGCAATTCTCATATGTATTTTCTGAAAAATCTTAAAAACTTTCCTTACCAGTTTTTTTTCCTTTAGTGGGTGCACGCTCACAAATTATACTGATATAGTGTCTCCTATGAATCCTGTAGCTAAGTGATGTTTTTCTCTTGACAGCTATATAATAAACGTGTTTCTTCTCAAAGATGTCCTGACCTGTCCAGTATATTTCTTGCAATGCCAGGATATCAATGTCATATTTGTCAAAAACATCAGATTTCTCACTGTTATAAAAGATTTAGATATTCTATGTACCAGTAAATAATGTCCCATTTCTTGCCATGTCGTTTGGGTTGGCTTCGTCCAATTTTAACTCTTTGGGATTTCTGAACAAGATAGTTTTACAAGGTAGGTCTGTCAACCACACACCTAACCCCTAACCTGGCGGACCAAGGAGGTACTCTTCTTCTGTTTCCTTATTAATTTCTTTTCTGGCTTTGCTTGAAAGGCCCTTCCAGTAGCTAAGCTTACGTCGACATAGCTCAATGGGCCCTAAACTCACGCAAGCTCATCCACCACGGCAAGGTGGTAACTCCCATCTTCCAAGTTCAAGGTGGTAACTCCAGATTTCTTCTTAGAAGCAATATATGAAGCCAAACTACTTTTTTATGAGACTAAATATTCTTGTCTTTTCCAAACTGGCTGATGATAGATCTCTTACATTTTTTAAAACAAGTTATGGTTTGTTTTTGGACAGATTTTTAATTCGTGTGGTTTTAAACCTTAGTGTTATACATCTTTTCAATGTTCGTCCATATATTTCTTTCATTTTTACATGTTGTGTATAACAAAAGAGAAGATTGGTTGCTGTCAAAATACTTTTCAGATAGTATTCAATATTGTTTTCTTTACTATTTAAGACATTTTTTAATTTAATAAAAATGGATTTTTGCGAAAGTAAAACAATTGTAAAATCCTTATTTATAATGTAAATGTTATTTAAAAGATCCCTTACTGTTAAAATATTTCTTTTATTAATGGTTATAGTAATTTACCTGAATAGAATTTTTTTTGGTAGTTATTGTTGTTTAATTTTATTTTGTTTAAATCATTTGGCAACATGCACAATTTGCAAGCATCTACCTTTTCAGTACAAATGTACGATGTTAAACTTAATATGTAGTTTCATAATGGAAGCTCATTTAGAAAAATTCTAGTAGCATGAATTTCAATTCCTAATGTAATGTTGTAAATATA